GGAGGATTTATCTTTAAGAAGTCCAAAGCACTTGGGCATTAGTTGGAGATTTTCAACAAAAGCATCCACCTATAGTGAAGTTGAAAAAAGTCGGATGTATTTTGTGCTTGGAGGTCATGCAGAAAAAAAATGGCTTGGAAGTCAGCTGTCTGCTGTGTCTTGAGTTTGGGCATTGAAGCATAGGTGGTGTGGGTTTCTTTGATTAGGTACTTAAAGAAAACATACAACAAAACCTCTGGATAGCTGGCTTGTTGGCTTTTTTGTTCTCCTTTTCCATGTGTGTTTGTTTTGTTTTTGTTTTCAGTGACATTTATGTTTTCCAGGTAAGTCCAGTTGCGCCTGCTAAGAATGTAGGGCTTTTGTAGGGATTTCTTCCCATCAGTGGGAAAAATGTATTTTGGAAGACAATTGCTTCTGAGTGTGGCTGGCCAAAGAACGAGAAATTTCTTTATTTTTGCCTCTTCTTCTGAAGTCTTCCAGGATTTTTTTTTTTATTTTTTTTTTTGTTCCCAGCATTGCCATTTCGAAATTCTTGGTACTTGCACCCAGCTGGCTGTACTGGTCAAAAATGCCAGGTGTTCCCATGAACACTTTATTGATGCTTAAAATGCATTTGGGACTGGGGAGTGTTCTGCCCAGCTGTGAGCTCAGCTGAGAAGCGTTGCTACCCTGAGCCTTGAAGATTAAGTAGATTAAATGCTCTGTCGTTGCCACTGCTGGCAGGAAGGAGAGATGCTGAAAGTGTGCTGGGGCTGGCCCCATGGGTTTTTGTTTTGTTTTCCAGGAATGTCTGTCAGTAAAACCACCCCAATTTTGTGTTGCAGATGGGCTGTTGTGTCTCTCTGGGAATCTTCTCCTGCAGCCTCTTTAGCGTGGCATAACTGCACAGTTATTTCCTGTAGAGCTGAGCATTGTGCCATTTTCTGGGACTTGTACACTTTATTTAACGTTACAAACAAAGCCAGGTTGTCATTTCTGGCCGGGGGCTGAAGTGGGGAGGAGAGGAGCACTGTCCTCGAGGGAAGTCTTGTCACGGTTCCTTCCAGTGGCTGTGACTGTGAGCACTGCCCTGGTTGTTGAGCACTGGGAGAGGCATTAGAGAGAGGTATCTTAGGGTAGAACTGACTGTTCTGCTTCTCTGTATTTACTTATTTATTTGTGCATGCACTGTTTTACTGGTAGTGCTTGGTCTGCGCACTTGGAGCTTTTCTTCAAGGACCTGGAGATGGTTTTGCTTTTTGTAATATATATTGTATGAAAAACACCACTTGATTCTTTTTTTTTTATTATTATTGTTTTTGTTTTTATATGTAGCTTTTTTTTTTTTTTAATAACTTAGTGGTTCATTTTTTTTTTGGAAAAATACTCTGAGAATGTGAAGGCATCATAAATTTAAACTCTGGCTATACAAGGTACTTACATAGAAACGGAGAGAAAAGATGGATGCTAGCGCTGTGCAGGGAAAACCGCCAGGGTCTGGTTATGAAATGATGAATCGGGAAGGAGAAGAACAAAGAAAGAGACCCATCATATGTGGACCTCTGTGACAAGTGATTGATTCTTATTGCCACTTAGAGATTTCAAAACCGCCATGAAACACACAGGGGGGCATGGGGCTTCTCCCCAGGAGGGATTTGGGGCTGCCCTGTCAGGCTGTGGCGTACATGCCACTTAGAGGCCAGGGATCCCAAAGTGGAGCCTTTTCTCCAAGGGTCAAGATAAACTGACATGCAGCGGATTTTAAATTTGCATTTTAGGTAAAACTTTTGCCTTAACTTCACTACAGATCCTGATTCGCTGCATGAGCCCTGCCCAGACTTCCATCTCTTGCAAGGAAGGTGCAGGATGGTTACATCTTGGGTGCATTAATTTTTGCCATATGTCTTCTGAAGCGTGTTTCAAATAGTCCCCCAGCTTGACTTCTGGTTTGAAGCACAGTGACTCACAGCACGGGTGGTGACTCACTGCGATCAATTAAACATTAGGATCCTGAAGGTGTGACTTCTTAGGCTTTGGCAAAAAGCACTGTCACAACATGAAAAAAACACTTGAGATGCATTGCACATCTGCATAGGTGGCAAATTCTCCACATTGCTGTACTGCCACAGAAAAAAAAGCTTTTTTTTTGAGATCCCTCTCCATGGTTTGCATAGTGGATTATATTTATAAATATAACCTATCAGCTCTGTATATCACTCTATCAGACCTCTTGCATTAGGAGGCTAGAGGACAGAAAGAAAGAGAAAACAGAGGGGTCACTGTAAATTTAGCAGCACCCTTCCTTCAGGCTGGGAGCTGCTAACTCCCAAATGGGACGCTGGGGGATTCTGCCAGAGCAGCTACAGGATTTTCTGGTCTCGCTGCTCCTAACACGTTAATCTACCTTTTGTATGAGGTGATAGGGGATTACTGGCTAGACTCTGGCCAAAACAATCTCCTGGTGCAGATTTACTCGGAGTGCCACTTGAGCTGTCAGCAGCACTGCCTGTCCCAGCGTGCTGCAAGATGGGAACCTGTGAGGGTTTTCTTTCTGTGTGAAAGCTGAGGCTGAAACCTCAAATCTGTGTTTGGTGCCTGTTTTGTATACCTGGTAGGCTTATGCTAGACTCCAGAATAGTCCTTCAGCTGAAGGCAGCAAGCGGTCAGACACGGGATTTGCAGAGAAATGGATGGCTTTGTTTTCAGAGGGGCCGAGGGGCTGGGCAAGAGCCTTGCAAACAAGCAGACGTGTGGTTCCCAGATGGCTTATCTGAGGGAGCGGGCCTGCTCGGGGTGCTGCTGGAGGGCCTGCTGGGAGTTCAACTTTTCTTCTGCTTTCAAACTCTTGCTCTGTGTGCCAAAGTGGACAACTCGGTGTCTGCCGTGTTGTCCCGGCCTGAAATTTCACAACATGAGGCTCAGGCTCCTCCAGCCATGAACCTTCACCTATGTGTGACCCAGCACTGCACGTTCCCTGCCCGGGCTCCGCACGAGGGCCAGCAGCGGCTGGCTGTGGAGGTGAACAGGCACCAGGATATATCTGCTTTGTTTGCTTTCCTTGTACTTGGATGGCATTACAGCTCCTCTGACTGCAATAATGTGACAATGAGCAACTTGCATTGCTTGCCTTTTAAAAGTATTTGTGTATAAATATGACTGTTTTTAATATGCTTAATTTCTACCCTACGTTCAAAAGTGATTTCTCACTTCTAATCACTGTACAGACCTTCTGGATTGTGAAAATAAGCCCAGAGCATTTGAAAGCCTGCCTGGAGCTCAGAGGTGCCTCCTGAATTTTGTTTTGATTATGGCTAGCCTGGACAGGTATTTTTCTTGTGAGCTTGAGATTGGTTCTATAATTGTAAATATTAGGAACTGCATTTCTCCCGCTCGCTAAATACTTCCGAGAAGTCAAGAACTTTGGAGAGCAATTCTCATTGCCTTGCTGAGCTGCTTGTTGCAAATAGTCCGTAGCTACTCAGTGGAAAAAACACTCATACCACTCGCTTCTTGTTCCTTAGTACCATTAACCTGTGGCTTGCAGAATGGTGCAGAGGATCAGAAGTGTATGTCCCAACTTCTACAAGTCGGAACAGTGAAGAACTCAAAAATACATTTAATTAAAATGAAAAGCCTGAGCATGAACGTTTGCCGAAAGCCAGCACGTTTCTTTTGGCCTCAGTAGTGCTACACTTCTTGGTGAGATGGTGTGTTCTGGGGAGGATGTCTTCTGTGATGTTGAACCAGATGGATGAGTCAGAGCTGCCTTATTTATGGAAGGGCTGCATGTCACGAAAATACCTAACACTGCAGTGCACCTAATTAAGCTCTTTGAGGGAAGCTCTCTTTTGAAGTTGCACCTGACTTTTTAAAACAAATTGCGTGTTTTAATTCTGCATCTTTGGCCATGAAACTTCAGTGACTGCTGTTGGGACAGCACTACTATTACCTTACATGCACAGCCATTTATTCTGTGAAGTTTCGGTTCTGGAGTAGCTGGCTCTCCAAAGTTAGCTGCACTTACTTGTTCATGAAATGTGTATGGCTCCTGTTGCCACCAATATTTAAACACTTCACAAACCACGAGCAAACACATATTCCACATTTATTCAAGGGTATGATGGTACTATCCACGCTTCACACACAAGAGAGACTAAGTTATATGTCTGAAGGCAATGAGGGTGTTGGGTTTAAGCCAGGAATGCAGCCTGGCTCTCCTGAGGCTCAGTCTGATGTCTAGGAGGAAAACATCTTGGAGGTTAGGGAAGCCTTGCTAGAGACCTTGTTCCTGTTTTTCTCTTGGGAAGGGCGGGCTTCCTGGAATGGTCCATCCATTGTTCCTTTGGACACAAAGGGTGCTTTCAGTATCACAGAGAGCCTTGGTGTGGAGGTTCAGGCCCTGACTGATCTGCAAGCCATGATGGGGGTTGCTGTCCTGCGGCTCTCTGGATTGATGCCAGGACCTGGCTTTTCAGACCTGGCCTGACAAGCCATGCCATTAGTCTTCATCACCTTCCACTGCCTTCGGATGCTTTTCTGAAAACAAAAGCATCTTGATGCTTCGCCGATGGTAGCCTGAAAGTATTCAGCCACTGGTGTCTGTGGTAAAGCAGCTGCTTTTCCTGGTGTCTTCAAGTGGTGCCAAGTAGGCCAATAGCAGAATGTCCTCTCAAGCTGTCTGGCAGCAGGTATCTGGGGCATTACAGTGATATACCACAGTTACATCAGCAATACCAAACCTGGAGATGCTCCCCGAAGCATCTAAACTCAGGTGGCCTGAAGAGGGTGGAGACTTAAGTGTTGAGTATTCCCCTTCTGTCAATAAGGGTCTGATGAAACTCAAATAAATGAGTCTTTTCAAATACTTTTTAGGATCTGGGGCTTGACTCAAGGGGGAAACTGCCATTCCCATGCACTTGTTCTAGGGCTGAAGCTTTCAAGGAGGTCTACACATGTGATAGTATGCTTAACTGCATCTGAGGATAGCTTGATTTATTTTGGTTTATCTGTCTTTCTTCTAGTGGGATCTTGTTTGTGACTCTGCCTGGAAAGTCCACATTGCAAAATTCTCCCTACTGGTAGGATTAATCTTCGGCCACTTAATAACAGGATGTATAGCAGACTGGTAAGTGAAAAATCTTTTAATGCTAGTATAACTGTAAATGAATGCCAGTATTAAATATTGTTTAGATTTTTATCTACTTCATATTCATAAAAAACTTTTGCGTAATGATTTTCATGTTCTGAAAAGAGCATGAACAAATGGTTTAGAACTGTATGTTAATTGCTTGAACCAAGTAATTTGCACCAAGGTAAGTAACAGGAAAATAAGCTATTTGATAGTTGACTTAGTTATTTCCTGCTGATACAGTTTATTACAGCTGTAGTGCTCATACAGAATTAAGTATTTTCTAATTATGTAAGTGGTGCCTTTGGTTAGTGGTTGTTGTTTTTTTTTTGGTTTTTAAATCAGGAGATGAGGCCAAAAGAAATTGAAAGCGGCATTGATTGAATAAAGGAGAACAGTGTAACGTCAATCTTCTGCTTACACAGTCTCATCTAGGGGTGGTAGAATGCTGTTGTTTTTTTGTAAACTTTTCCTTTGTTCTATTTTTAAAGTTCTTGTTAAGCAAATGTGTTGATTGTAGTGTTAAGGAATTGCTGACTTATATGCCACTAATATTGGGGTATTAGATTTAAAAGCACAGAGTGCAGTTCCTTAAATTACAGTAGTAAAAACATTACCAGATGCCCTGGTTGTTCTGAGAGTTCAATTTTTATTTCAAGAGAGTGCCTTGTAGTGCAGAAAAAGGGGAAAAAAATTAATGCCTGACTCAAGCGATTTCAATGGAAACATGCAGCATTTGAAACAATAGCCCTGTGATGCCATCCCAGTCATTTCAGTGGCTTCCACTACAGTTGCCAAAGTTGCTGCTTTAAGTGGCCCCAAGTTAACTCTTTCACCATTCACTAAACCAGGAAAGGAAGGCGTCACTCGCGCTTTTTAAGATTTCCGTAATAGGCAAACCTGTCAGTCAATGGGCAGAGAAGAGGCCCCCTGCAGCTATGCAGTAATGCGTCTGGAACTTTTGTAGCAAAATTACATCTCAGTTCTCGAGTAGTCATTAAAAGTTTTCAGGCAAGTGGGGAGTCATGACTTTTCGGTGAAGTAGGGATCATGCATGATGAAATACAATTGAAATTGATTAAAACACTGCAGTAGAACAGGGCTGTAACAGTGTGTAGAAAGTGTAGCAGGGAACTGAATGAGGGATCTCTTGGTTTTCCTAAAAAGGAATCCATGTGGAGAAAGCAGACTTATTGCCAAGTTAGGGAAATGCTGCTGTAATTGACAAATAAGTCACAAATAAGTGAACATCTTGTTGCCTAAGGCACTGTCTTCAAGAGTGAGATGCAGTAAGCGGTTTAATAGCTCTCTGCCACCAAAAGGAGGAGCATCCTGTGCTCCCATCTATTTCTTTCCCCATTTTGTAGCTTGCTCTGCCACATGTGCTTGTTGAACCCTCTCACAGGCTGCTAGATGTATTTGGGGCTGCTAAAAGAGGACCTAAACAAGGATTTACTTTACAATTTAATCACAGTTTGAGTTTCCTTTAAGATGGAGGGTGGTGTGGAAAAACAGATACAAAGGGGATTGTACTTGTAAAATTAAAAAAAAAATAAATTAAAAACTATGTCAGTCCAAAACAAGAGCAGGCAAGATTGGGCAGATTAATACATTAAAGTGTTACAATCTTTAAAATTCCTGTTTTCATTTAATTTCATATCACTATCCAGTGTAGGTAATCAGAAGAGGCTTTGGGGCACTTTTATTTTTTATTTTTGAGCCAGTAGGGTTTGGGGCTTTATTTTTCCTTTTTGAACGGTTTTTAAAGCTGCATGTTATCAGGACGTAATGTGCATTAAGACAATTAGCTTATGCAAACTGGTCTGTGGTCTGTTCAAAATACGGTAGGTGTGTACACGTATACCTAGGTAGCTCTGTTGCAAATCTATAGGAAAAAGTCTGCAAACACGTATTTTTACTCAAAGCCTGAGTAAGTTACTTGTTTGACAGGCAGAGCACTGCTGGCACTTTTGCTTGCTCTGGTCAGGGTGGCAGAGAGGTCTGTGGAAGGGTCTTGGTGGCCATGTGGCATCCTGCTGAGCAAACCTCTGCTTCTCACTGCCCAGTCCAGCCCTGCTTTGCAACTGCCCTGGTACTCCTTGGAGCCTTTGTGCCAATTCAAGTCCCAAAACCAAGAGAAAAGCTGCAAAGAATGGTACAGGAAGAACAATTTGATCAGCTGAAGGAGCAGAGCTTAGTCTTCTCAGGGTGGCAAGGTGCATACTTAGGAGCGTGGGTCTTGTCCTCAAAGCATTTGCCTTTCATCTGCATCTCTAGATGCATTTGCACGTAGTGCTGTGTGGGTTACAGGTTCTCCAGAAGCCTGTGGATGTTTGTATCCCTATTTGTTTACCTGTGCAGGCAAAAGTCTGCATCTGATACAGCTAATAGTATGCAGCGTAGGCTGAGACTGTTGTGGCACAGAAATCTCCCTCTGGAATAGCACGGATGGCAGCAGCTAGTATCCTGGGGCTGTTTTACAAGGGAGATTGTGTATGTTTTAATTTCTCACAAGCATTGCCACGTAGTGTTAGTCAGATAACTCTGTCTACACATAAAAGGATTTTAGATACTCTGAGACAACATCCTGTCAAAACACTGCTGGATCACCAACCGTGTGGCTGATAGCTGCCCTGGAGTTTTGATTTCTGAGAAAAACCATCCCTGGGTGAGGAGGGATGCTAGGTTTGTCTCTGGGAGGAGGTACTGGAGGGCTTGCCTGGCCTGAGAGGGCTTTCACAAGCCCAGGAGGATCTCCTGATTCTTCGTTAGCAGCAAACATTAATTTGCATAATTTGTATAATGGCAGAAGAAATTCCAAGCCCTAATGATGCATAACCTCGAGTAAAGAGAGGGGGAGGAAGGGGGCTGATGTCTGTGAAGCAGTGGGGCCTTTTTTAATCAACATCAGGAAATGGCAGGTCAGGCTTGTGATGAGAATTAAGTTCCTAATTCTGAGTGCTGGCATTAATGCCTTTCATCCACAAAATGCTTCCACAAATACTAATTAGTATGAATTACAGCTTGACTGTTATGAAAATAGGGATGTGGAAGCCTGCGCAGATCCCTGATAAGAGCTTGCAGTTTTTGTGTTCAAGGTTTGGTATGAGGTAATTCCCCTCTGTGTCCAAGTGCCGTGCACCCTATAAATACACCATGTGAAGCCCAGGCAGCGGTAGCTACCTCAGTGTCCAGCGTGTTCCTGGCACGTTGCGTATCACTGAGGAAATAACGCTGTGTTCCCACCCCGAGTGGTGCAGCGAGCAAGGCTCATCCTCTACGGGCTGGGTTTGTGAGGAACCTTCTGCCCTGACCTCGCTGCCTCCAGCTTGCCACTTAGTACTTGCTGTTTTAAAAACACCCAGTGCTTGATGCCAACAAGCTGAGTTTTGGTGAGGTGCCCCACAGCTGATGCTGCCGCTGGAAAAACATGTCCTCATCCAAAGGAGCCCCCAGCATCATCATCTGAGGTGTGACTTGTAAAATGTGTAGGTGATGATGCACATACCGGTGTGGTTTTCCAGTTTTCCCAAAAGCATCAAAAATGATGTCTCCTTTCCAGCCCTTTGCCTCCTAATTCATTGTTCCTATTCCATTTTAAGTGAAGCAAAATCCAAATTTTTAATTGTGAATGCCTATGTATATAATGCATTTTACAGCCGCTGGTGACAGTCTGCTGAAATAATTGAATAGAAATGCTGCGGTATGTGAAACTGGATTAGGTTGTGAGGTTTAAATGTTCTTTATTGTGCTGACATTCAACCTGATGGCTGGCTTGCAGCTGACAGACTGCTTTGAATAGGTCTGTGAAAGCTGCCTACGAAAAGCAAGTTCATATATTCTTTGTGGAAGTGGCATATGGAGCTGGCTGAAAGGAATCCTCGGTTCCACTGGAAATCTTGTGGGAGTTGACAAGTTGAAATTTTGGAAATCTCCACATAACGATCCAATTCTTGCTTAAAAATAGCAGCGTGCTCTGGTGCTTCAGATCATCTGTGTTGCGCAGGAAGAGGAGGGGGGGGGAAAGGGGAATGATAAACACGGAGCATGTGAGATATGCAAAAGCCTCATATTCCTTTTACATAAGAGCCCAACTGTGCAGCAGGTGCCCCGCGTTCGGGGGCACTGTAATTCCTCTTCTCATCGATGCCACCCCAGCACGTGCAGCTGTGGCTTGCAGCTGAAAATCCTTCCTGCCAAGGAGGGCTGCAAATCCTCATGCCCACACTGCCACTGGTCGATGCAGTGCATTTTTTATTCTCGTTGTTGTTTTTCTCCTCCAGTCGGGCTCATTTTGTGGGTCTCTACAGCTGCTATGGGGATCTGAGGGGAATGCACTGCTTTCCTACAAGCATTGCTGTCAGCTCTGTGAGGCTCAGGGAAGTGGCACAAACCCTGTTTTACACTTTGTCCCTGTTTGTTAGGCTTATCCTTAATAACAAGGCAAAAAAAAGTTGTTTTTTTTTGAGTGTGCTCGTCTTGCAGATCAGGCTGGTAAGCACATGTCTATTGGGTAGAGGAGAGCTCTGCAGTAAGCTTTGTGGCTGTAGGCTGTGAAGAAATAATAATATAGCGTATCATTTAACATATAATGTCATACACCCATCTCTGCTGCTACAGAAAGCTCTGAGAAGTTGTTTTTAATCTTCAAGATACTTGTTTGTGGTCCTGCTGTAGTTCTCAGACATTTCCTTGTTCACCGTTGGTGTTTTGCAGTTGATGTCAAGCAGTAACAGAAATTGATGCTAAACAGTAATAAATCATATGCTGGCCCTGCATAATCCCACCTGAAATGAACTTGTCAATGCAAAGCTGAGTGAGGAATTAAGTGTTTTTTAGTTAAAAATTTAAAAATAAATAAATAAAAATGGAACAAGCTTTAAAATGGGTGGCAATATTTGGAAGGGATTGCATGACTCGTGCCCCTCTTTGTAATGCTGGAGCGTTGTGTCTGTCCTGGCTTTTAACACCGTTTCCTCCTTATTTTTAGGGTAGGTCGACGGCCCGTACTGCTCTTCTCTGTCATATTCATTTTGGTATTTGGACTGACTGTGGCACTCTCAGTGAACGTGACAATGTTCAGCACACTCAGGTTTTTTGAGGGGTTTTGCCTGGCTGGAATAGTCCTCTCCCTGTACGCACTGCGTGAGTATGCCTTCATCACCCATCCCAATGTGTATTTACTGAGTATGTTGCTTGCTGTTCCGGGGCTTCCTGCTTTCCTCCAAGCAAACAAAAGCAGAATTGTTTGCACTGAGAAAACTTTAGCCTGAGTTTCAGTGACCAAGTAGGGATTTTTGCAGCTATCTCTTGCTACAGAGCAGTCTATGAAGCAGTTTGAGGGACTGTTTAAAAGAAAATTATAAAGTGTGGGGGGGTATTGTTTGCTGTTACGTAAACCTAGAAATCATCTGAGTCATGGCTGTAACGGTTGTGGATTTCACTATGCAGTACTGAGCTCAGTAGGAAACTCCCTGCTTTCCCTGTCTCTAGCTGTACGTATTCTGGCACTATTTCAGAAATTTTCCTGTTAACTGAGGCCAAGAAGCCCCTTGTCCCTGCGTTTGATCATAAAGTACATCAAAAGTATACGAGAAGAGAAGGCTGAAGTCATTTTATCAAGGCTTCTTGTTTCTTTGTTGTTCTTTTTTTGATTGTTTCAAGGTGGGGGGGCTAGGGGGGAACAACCGAGAGAAACTTGAAGGAAATCTTACGAGAAATGTCTTTGTGATCATAGCATTTTGGGGGAGATGCCTGGTAAATTTGTCGCCAAAACATTTGGAAGCCCCTTCTGGAGGCCTTGCCCTCAGGGGGTCCATGTGCAGTGCCACCAGCCCTGTCTGTGTCACTTGGATGGGCTCCAGGGAGCTGTGTCTGCTCACGCTTCCTTTGCTGTTTGTGATTAACAGGTAGCCGAGGAAAATACAACATTTCCCCCTTTTTATTACGGCTCTGGAGAAGTATTACCTAAATATATCCTGGGACTTGCTGTACAGATCTTCATAAAATTTTATTCACTTCCTACTGTATCTGGTATCTAGCCCATCAGGATTTAGCACTGTATCCTTACTCTGCATGGAGCGCCTTCTACTATTAAGCCCTTGTGGAGCTTAATATTTGTATTTGTTTTGGTTTTAGACTGCTCAGAGGGGAAAGCAGCCTGACTAGAATACACAAGGGCTTGCTCTGTATTGTGCTTCTTCATAGTAGATAGGCTTACTTTTTTTCTTCCCCCTCCTTGTCTTTGGTCATGTAACCTCTAGCAAGAATTTTTCATCAAAAAGTAAGGCTACTACTGAAGACACATCTTTTTTTTTTTTCTCCTTTTATTATTTTTTTCCCCATTGTAGAAAATGGTAGCAAAACTTGCTTATCCATTTCACTTAGTGGCCCTAGAGATCTTAGTAGAGTGGAAGAAACTGAAGCAGAGCAGGTTGTTGTTGAAGCAGAACTAGCATCAAACCTCCTCCCTGCTGGCCTGCTGCACAGTCAACTCCAAATGCTGATCATGGTCTGGGCCATGAAGAAAGATCTTCCCCTGCTAGGGCAGCCATTACGTGTGGATATTCAGCAGGAGCTTAAGCTAGTTGGGATTTTCCACTGCCCAATGGAGTATGTTTGTCCTGGTTGGTTGGTCAGTTGGTTGTTTTTTCTTGTTATTTTTAAGGCATCTAAGCAAAAGGTTCGTTGTGGACTTTTGTAGACCTGAGAGACAGTGCATGTGTCACTGAAGAGTAGCCCAACAGTAGTTTGTTCAGCAAACAGGAGATGCTGGTTAGTCCATGCTCTGCTTCATTCAGATCAAGGACTTGAATCTGATTTCCCCCGCGTAATTGAAATGTTTGCTGTATCTGCTGTATGTGTGTATCCACTGCAAGCAGGCATCTGTCTGCATAGGCAACGTTCGAATAGAGTTAGTAGGTGTTAGGAGAGATGTGTGAAATTAGCTGCGGCATGAACATCAGTGCAATTTTATAGAAGTGAGAAAAAAAAAATCTCCCTGCACCCCTGGGAGATCTTCTGGCTAGGGAGGTGAGGGGAGTGGGAATTTCTGTATTAAATATTATCATTAAAAAAATAAGAAGTGTTGTCATCTTGGTGTAGAGTAATGGGAAAGAATTAATCCCTAGAGCCTTAAGAGAATGGGAGGAACATGATTTTTTGTTGTTTTTGTTACTTTTTCTTTGGTTTTCTTTTTTACTCATTAGTAGGCATAATTTGTTAGGCGTTCTCTGAATTTCGGATTGTTTTTTTCTGTTTCTGCCAGAGCCTATGCCGCTCTATTGCACTCCTCTGTGGAGTCATCTTCTATTTCATGGCCCCTATTTCCTTGCTGTTAATGGTCTTGATTTCTTCCACCGGAGCTTCGTGTCCCCAGAATTCCCACTTGGCTGCCCCAAGCAGAACAATAGAAAATGGAAAGTTTGATCGGCTAGAAAGAGCCATTAGCTGAAGTTTTCAAAGCTACTGTGCAGAATCAAACTCTATAGGCCTGTATAGCCTGCAAAGGTAACAAGCCTGCCACAGGGATCCTCTTACACTCTGTCAGGCTTGCTAGTTATGCTTGGATTTATGGCCTGCCTCACGGAAATTGTAAATAACCGTCCTGGATGCTTTGGGAGTGGGAATAGCACCAAAGTGCTGCCTTTAAAACACAGAGCTGCTGAGCTTGAGTTGCCCTCACCGCTCACACCATGCTCTTTTCAACAGCCTCACATGGTTTTCCTACAGGTTTGTGCCAGCATGCAGGGTGAGCCCTGCGACAAGCATTGCTTTTGGTGCCTCTCTGCAGTCTGGTTTCAGGGTTGCCGTGAGCTGGCTTCTTGTGGAGGCTGTAGTGAGGAGGGTGTTGGCCTCTTTTCTCAGGCAACAAGTTATGGGACACGAGGAAATGGCCTCAAGCTGTGCAGTGGGAGGTTTAGGTTGGGTATGAGGAAGAATTTCTTCATGGAGAGAGTGGTCAGGCATTGGGATGGGGCACCCAAGGAGATGTTGGCATCCCCATCCATGGAGGTATTTAAGAGACGTGTGGATGGGATGCTTAGGGACATGGTTTAGTGGTGGACTTGGTAGTGTTAAGTGATGGTTGGACTTGACGACCTTAAGGGTCTTCTCCAACCTAAATGATTCTGTGACTCTGTACAGAGAGCTGGAGCTGCCTGGGCCTTTGCTAAAGGAACCACTTTTGATGCTGATTCATTAAGCTGAAAAGTTTTTCTGCAGTTGTTTTAGTTTTGGCAAAAGCTTTTGCTGGAGAGGTTTTTCGGGTACAACTGGTGAACTTGCAGGAAGAGCCAGGCTTTGCAGAGGTGGTGGCACTTGCTACGAAGGGGGAAGCAGAGGGGAAACGAACCTGGGAACCTCTTCCTGGTGCTGTGGTCATTGAATCCTCTCTTTGTGAGAACGAAAGGGAGGTGCTCCTTTTCCCGAGCAGTGCCACGTGTGCCTGAGCAATGCCTCAGCAGGCACCTGGGAGCTTTTACAGCAGGTAAAGGAGCACCGCTTCCCGCGAACAGCCCCGCTCGCTGGCCGCAAGCCCTGTGGGACAAAGTACGCTTGGCAGATGTGGAAATCGCTGCCCTGGCCAGATGCTGTGCCTTCCCTTGGGCTGGATTTCACAACCCGGCGGGGCTGCAAGCAGGAATTCCCCCCACCCACGCTGCTCCAGTGCTGCCTCTGAGGCCGTGCTGGTGTCAGCATTAGTCTGGGAAGCCGTCCCCGTGGGGGGCAAAGGGTGCTGCTGTCAGCAGGATGCACCCTCTGGTCTCATCTCTCCTGCCTTGGGCTGGGTTCCTGCTGTCCCTCATGCCACCAGGGCCTGGGGGAGCACGACTTGTTTCCTGGAGCAGAGGCTGTGATGACGGCACAAGCCGCAGCGCGGGTTTGCACACAATTGCGGGCTGCTCAGCTGTTTCACGGGTGACTGGGCTGCAGATTAGGCTGCGAAATTGCAAAGTCTAGACTTGAATGGAGCAATAAATAGGCTCTGAGAATCGCTGCGCGGAGAGGGAGACAGCACCTCAGGTTGGAGCGAGGAAGCAGGGGTGTCCCTCCAGCACGTAGCAGCAGGATGAGTTGGCGTGGTGTTTTCTCCCTTTCACTGCTAGAAGAAAAAAGGTAGGAATGCTGTGCAAAATAATAGCCTGTGTTTTGAAAGGCTGGAGAACTCTGGCAAAGGTTTCCAGGCTGGGTAAGATGTCCAGCTGTGATGTATCTTTCTCTTTTCTAGCTAGGTCGACCTAACCTGTTACTCCTGTAAATTACACAGGCACTGACCTGAGAGAGGCTCAATGTGATTTCTTAAGCCTTTTTTTTTTTTTAAATGTTTATTCTGTAAAGCTAGAGCAGCATGCTATAGAAAGCTTTCTAAAGCTGAAGGAAGCCTAGGGACATTGGATTGTGGTAATGTCAGATTTGTAAAATAAATTTGCATCTAATGAGCAGTCAGACAGTGAGAGTTGCCTTTGTTTTTTTTTTTTCCTTTTTCCTTTTTCTTTTTCTTTTTTCTTTTTTTCCCACCTCCTCCCACCCAGAAGCATATAGGCACAGGTATCCTGGAGCATCCCAGGTGTGCAGCCCCCATGTCCCTTGGAGTTAGTGGTGTAAGCAGTGGAGTTGCTCCATTTTATTCTCCAGTTTCCCCTCCGGAGTCTTCAGCAGCCAGACGTGGCCCTGTCCAGGCAAGGCAGGTGAAATCCTGCAATCCTCACGCTCTGAATCTGTTTGGTGCAACCCGAACCAGCCAAATAAATAACTCTGTAATGCCTTCCTCAAACCGGAGGACGTGGAAGGCATCTGACTGCGTTCCAGTGCCTTGACATGTGCTTTCGTTCCGCAGTAACACGCAGTTCTCTCGGCTGACACTTGGGTGACAAGATCAAGGTTGTTAAGCCACCTACCTTCTGTTTATGTAACCAGCCTTCTGCTCTGAGTCATCCCGTGCAGGTCCGGGAGGAGGGATCACAGACAGATCAAGTGCACGAAAATCTTTCTGAATCCCTCCAAAGTGGCCATTAATTGCTAAATCACACAATCTCAGGTATGGGGCTCTTTGAAGAGCAGCTAGGGATCGTGCTGATACGAGGTGGGATGTGAGTTTCTGGAAAGCGCAGCTCTCTGTTTGTACTAGCTTTGTGCAAGAACTG